AGCTCTGCGCTTTTTCTCCTCCGTGCCTGCAAAAGATCGACGCCGACACGTCTGTCAGGGTCGTATGAACTACTGACTGCCACTGGCAAGAAGGGTGCAAAGACGCAAGATCCGAGGCGGGCGCAAAGGTGCCTCTTACCTGCGGACTGTCGGCCTTCCAATAGCCGATAGGTTCCCTGTCGGCTACTGCCAGAACGAAACGGGTTGACGACGCCGGCCATCAACTCAGCTGCCTAGATTGCTTTGCATTTCTTCACACATATTGTACTGTACGTACCGTGGTTATCTTGCTGATCGCTCCTCCGGAGCGCGCCTCCATGATATGCAGAGAGAGCCGTCGGACTTGAGCGGCATGAACGCCGTGTAGTACGACGACGCGCTTGTGGCCCTACTCGCTCAGGTCGTCGTCTGCTCGCGCCGCCGCCGCTGCCCTGCTTGATCACGCCATCGTTAGCTCGCGCTGTCGCCGCGACGAGCGGCATGGACGCCAGCGAGGTGCGCGGCGAGGTCGTGCGCGTCGTGACAGCCGCCAGCAACACAGTGGCCACGGCGAGCCCAAGATGTACTCCCACCACGACGGCCAACATCGACAAAGCCAGCGGCGATTCAGATGCAACACACTCCCACCTCAGTCACCACTGCAGACATTGTGATTATCGTTGCTGCCGGATTCACCGCCGTTGCTTTCGCAGCAGCTGCCTTCATTTGCGTCATCCTTAAATATTTCTAGAAAGTTTATGTATCACATCCCGAATTTGAGTGGGGGCACGTGCCCCCGCTCCTTGTGTAATGGGTCTGCCCCTAGCCACACCGCTATTGTCGCTGACTATATTTAACTTCATTATTTATTTAACTAGATAGAGTACTGCTGGCGAGAGTCGTCGACCGGGGACGATGATGAGGCGCTTGAGTGCACGATGAAGGTCCTCGTGCTATCGGCTGTGCTGTCGCTGTCGCCACGGGACGGGGAGGACCCAGTGGTGGCAGCGGTGCCGCTGCTGGTGCTGCCAGTTATTTTATAATATTATTGTATATATACACCATAGATAGATCATACATGGAACTCCACTACACGGTAACTTCATCATCATTTAGTTAACTATATACTGATAGAGTAGTACCACAAACACTAGGTTGTTGGCTCCGTCACCGCGCATCTCAACATGGGAGGACGACGAAGCCACCAGGGAACTGATCCTCGGTGCTGTTGGTGGAATCAACGTTGCCAGTGGGGGACGATGGAGACGAGTGGATGATCAGTCCTGAGGCTGTCGTCAGTGTTGCTACTGTTGTCACGAGTGGTGGTTTGAGCTCAACGTCGTTGATGACCTCCTCCGTCGCCTGCAGGTGGTGTCGGACATAGAAGTAGACTCCGACGACGTGGACTCGACAAGGATCCCGGCGGCGAAACCGATCCCTATATTCTCTGCCATTGACAGCCCAGTGGTGGCGGCTGGATGCATGCCCATCGACGGTGCCGCCATCCTCTCTCCCCCAACCTCCTCTCTAGCGGATCTAGCGGTGTGGGGAGCTCAAGCCCCCCTACCGCTGTTGATCCCATGGAGCCCCTAGAGGATATGGTTGCCATGATCCCAAGAATGTTTGCCATGATGGTTGCTTTAAGGAGGAGAGATTGGAGGTTGAAGATAAGCTTTCAACTCCCCTTGAACTTCCATCCTAGATTGACCAATCTTATGCCAGTGTATATACGAGTACCTCATTCTTATTTTTCTTGCGTAAAAAATTATAAATGATGGTACACTTGATTTGTGATGATGTAACAATTAATATACGTTAATACTTATATTTCCATCCTAAATATGGCATGGATTTTGGGTCATCGAATCACAATTCAATGCTCATCATTCCTTTTCATACAAAACAAGAAACCCTAATCTTCTTTCCCCCACTTGACCACTCCCCAATCTCATCCTACCACTGCCGTCGCCACCGCCACCGATCTTGTTTGCTCCATCAACCCCCTTTCTTAAACTACAAGAGTTGCTTCATCCTCGCTACCCTTACTCGGTAAGCCTTGTCGCTCTTCTCACAAGTGTCATAGGTGTGGTTGGTTTCCTTAGCCATATGTGTTGTCCCGTGTGTCGAACAGATCAATATAGAGTATTTTGGTATCCTCCTCTTCGATTTTCTAATTTTTTTGAGGTGGATTGGCATTCGTACGGTGGTGGTATAGGTCGCCATCGTGCTTCCATAACCGATATCTTCTAGTGATTTCTCTCTTTGCATAATGATGTTGTAGGACATGTGGTTCACAATATTCTCAGTCTTTTGCCTTTCCTTTTATTGCGAGTCTTTGATCCTCACCATTCTATATATCATTCCCTTTTCTTTGTAGCTCTCCCACTTGCTTCTGTTGTTTGGTGAGCCTCACCGGTTCTTTGTGCCATGCTATCAAGGAGTTAGTTTTCTGGTCACCTTAGGTCCCTATCGTAATACCTTCTTTTCTCTTCTGTTGTGTTCTTTTTTTCGGTTGCGAGCTGATTTCAATTCCATGAGATCCATGTAATGAACTGGTGTGCCGGTGTTGCTAGTGGATAGGAACCCTTTCCCTTTTCGCTTATTTTTTTTGTCTTCGGCCTGGTCTTAGGTTTGTTGCACTAGAGGGATCCTAGTCGTTACCCCCGTCAATTTGTGTAATATTAAATCTTGGTCAACCAACACTGTCACTTGTTGGATGTCGCTTTCTCTTCTTGTTGTTGGGTTTGTGTGGAGGGGGTTGTGTCTTCTTCTTTGGTAGCATGCCACTTAAAGAGCCGGAGGTGGTCATGTGTCCTCGCGTCACCCATATTCGTCATTAGACCATGCAACTATGTTGGTATGTGATATCTAGAAAAGCCCAAACGATTTTACATTTGAATTGAAGGGAGTACCAATTTGGACTAGGCCTAACACAATAATAACAAAGTTTTAGACTACTCCCTGGGTTCCAAATTATAAATCGCTTTGATTTTTTTTGTACATCCATTTTGCTATGCATCTTGACATATGTTTTCAATGACCTTTTTATATTTGTATTCCAAATTTTAGACTCTTGTTTTGATGCACGGACACACGCTTAATTATTTAACAAATTCATAGACCTTCAACAACCTTGTTGTTAGATTGTAAACGTGACACGGCCCATGGCCCTGCCGTATCCGGCTCTCCATCGTGCCTATATGTACACAACACAGGTCCCTGAGTAATACATCGCGTATTCCATAATTCCTATTACGCTTTCATGGTATCAGAGCCAGGCAGCGCGGGCGTTGGGATCCCGAATCATCAACGATTGCTGCAGATCGTCGGACACGGTGTCGTAGACCCAGGTGAGGACGCAGCAGTCCATGGTCGACCATGCGGAGCGCTCGGGGTAGGAGTCGTCAGAGAGCACATGATCCTTGATAGGGCTGAAAACGGTCGGAAACGATCGGTAGTAGGTTAAATCACTTTCATTTTCACATTATTTTCTCGAAAATGAAATCGATGCGATATTGGCAGAAACGAATACGGTGTCGATATTCCGGTAATTTCAGAAACGAAACTATTTGTTCAAAAGTGCATCGACAACGATTGAAAATCATCAAAGCGGTATCTGAAATACGATAAACTCGTCAATCTGCAGAGCATGACAATAGCTATATAGCTTGACACATAGTTATACTTGATACGAAAGAACCAGAAGTGACAAAAGCCATAAGCCCACAACCACAAGTTCTAACGTCCTGGACTTAAGAGTTAGATCACATGAGCACACAAGCTGACAGCCACATAGACATATTAGCCACTCACAAACTTACGTACCAGTACACTCGTAATCGAACCAAGTTCTTAGTTCGATACTTGGACTTAAAAAATGATAGAAACGAGGAATAATGCAAGAGACATGATTTTTGCGTGGGGATAAGGCTAGCAAGGAGAGCGCTCAACACTCAGTAGGCTGGGCCTAGTCTATGATTCAGGAAGAGCCAGGGATGGCGTTGTGGGCTCGTGGCCTGCCTAGGATACGGTAATTATCGATGGTAGAATACTAGCTAATTACGGTATTTTTCGAAAACGGTCGGAAGTGAGGCAAATCATTTCGTTTTCATTACCGCATAGTTTTACCATTCTCATTTTCGTTTCCTGGGTTACCGTCACCACTTTCATTTAGGAGCAAAAGTCGGTAATTTTTCAAAAACGATTCCCGGTAAACGGAAATTATCGTTATTGTTTTCAGCCCTAATCCTTGAGATTGTACTTGCCGAGGACGATGAGGAAGAGGGAGCGCCAGCGGCCATAGTTGTTGGCCGGCTTCTCCAGGGTCACGGGAATCAGGATCTTGATGTTGATGACGGCGATGGCCTGCGTGTGCAGGGTGGCGAGTATCGCGCTGTCACAAATGGAATTGCGGAGGCGTGTTGGTTGCGTCAACTCCTCCATGAGCTCCATTGCCCTCTTCGACGAGCCACCATTGTGTACTGTGACAATGTCAGTGCCGTTTATCTGTCCACCAACCCCGTTCAGCACCAACGGACCAAGCATGTGGAGATTGATTTACACTTTGTTCATGACCGCGTCGCCCTTGGAGAAATTCGAGTTCTTCATGTCCCCACGACATCTCAGTACGCCGACATCTTCACCAAGGGCCTTCCGACGTTCGTCTTTGTGGAGTTTAGGTCCAGTCTCAATGTTCGCGGTGCTCCCTATTCTGGCTGCGGGGGAGTGTTAGATTGTAAACGTGACACGGCCCATGGGCCTACCGTATCCGGCTCTCCATCGTGCGTATATGTACACAACACAGGTCCCTAAGTAATACATCGGGTATTCCACAATTCCTATTACGCTTTCACTTGTAAAAGGAGGAGACTTGAAATTTAACTTATTCCATCAGGCACAGGGAAGAAATTTCTATGCACGCTGTCGATCGGCTTCGTCAGCATCGGCCATGTCAATGGTGACGATGGGCCTCTCGACGTCGTCGGCCATGTCTTGCATCCATGGACGTGACGATCCTGGGCTTATTTTCTCCTGAGGGACAGGACGTGAACGACGCCTTTCATGAGCGGCGCGGGCGGGCCTCTGTAGCGCGCCTCCGCTGCCCTGGCAAACTCGTCCCCGACGTCGTCGTCCACCCTGCCGAAATGCCGGACCAGCGTGGACTCGCTCAGCACGCGGAGGGACCTCGCCATGGCGGCGCTCTTGGCGGGGTCGGCGTCGCAGGTGAGAACGCCGTGGCTCTCCAAGCGGACGGCCTCGAACGACCCCTCCAGCTCCGCCGCGGCGCGCAGCTCATCGGCGCAGGGGGCGTAGAAGGGGACGTTGTACGCGTCGACGTCCTCCGCGGCGACCAAGCCACGGGCCGCCATGTCGCAGAGCACCTCGGCGGTGAACTCCGACTGCCGGTCCTGGCTGGACAGGTCCTTCCCCGGCCGGCCGGCGAGCGAGAGGACCAGCCACCCGCCTGGCACGATTTCCTCGGCCCGCGACGACAGGAACAGCCTGAAGTCATGCTCGAACTGCCGGGTGTAGGCGGCGCCGACGGCCAGCGTGCTCGTCCTCCCCGCCCATGTGTTCCCCTTGTTTACCAGCACGCCATCGGCCAGTTCCTGTGGAACCTTGGAGAGCCAGTGGACGCTGAAAGAGGAGCACACCAAGTGCAGCGTCTGGGCGGCGAAGAGGCGCCAGTAGAAGGACCCCGGCGCACCGAACACCAGCACCAGCGGCCGATCGCCATGGTCACCGCCTGCTCCCATGTGCTTCTCAAGGAACGCCGGCACCGCCTTGAAGACGAGGTTGAAGTCGTTGTCCGGGAGGTCATTGAGGTACACGCTGACCTCCGGCCTCGACTGGCACCCAAGAAGGCGGTGGTGGCAGCGCAGGGAGTCGACGGCGGTGGACACGAGAGAAAGCGAGTTGGGGCCCGAGGAGCACCCCAGGTCTGCCACCCCGACGCGGCCTGGCACGGCCGCTCGGCACAGGGTGGCTATGGCCTCCTCCACCAGAGGTTTCAGCCTGCTCTGCACAGCAGTCTAGTCTCCAGCACGCGCGTGTATTACATGTTTCAAGCACCCATTCATTCATGAAAACACACGCACTACCAGAAACTGGAGATTTCGTGAGGGGGACAGTTTTTTGTGAGAGTGGAAAACACACTCTCATGGAAATCTCTGGTTTCTGGTAGTTTTTTTTTTTGAGGGGATTCTGGTAGTGACGTACGTTATAACAACTTGCCAAAAAGAAGAAAGAAACTTCAACCGTGTTGTATTTGATTTGATAGCAAGAGATGAAGAGAGACCTGAAAATGGGAGTTGTTGGCGTAGCTCGTTTCTCCATCTCCTCCGATCATGCAAACACTCCGCGAGGAGGCTGCCATGGCGGCCATGGGTAGGCAGCTGGCTGCTAGCAGCCTAGCAGGAGTATATGATGCGCGCGTCGGCGTCCATCTTGCATGCACTGCCGTTGTTAAGCCCTAATGCCCTATTCAACCTCATGTCACCATCTCACCCGGGCGGCGGCTCGTGGCGTGGGGGTCCAGCGCAAGTGGACTGGCGCGGTGGCCCAAGCAGCCCCATCTGTCGGTAAAAGAACGCTGAGACATTGTTGTTCAGGTGGGGAAGGAAAAAACTTGTCGTATACACCGATGAAAGTGTGCATCTGTTCAGAAAAAACCCAAAACCTGTGTATTGATATAAGCATGTACCATATTTTGAACATTCCTTGATGGTATGAATCTTTGATGAGGAATTGAATTTTAACTGTGTTGAACTTCACAAAGATTTTGCTATTGATGTGACCACTAATGTTTTGAACTGTATTGATCTTCACAAAGGTTAACAGAACATATATTATCTTTTGATTGGTTGATTTGTGTTTCTAGATGACCAGCGTTTGCACGGCCAACACACTTAATTAATGAACAATGTAGCGGCAAACAAAACAAAGGCTAGCTGTCCTGCTGCCATACATACAGCCTGTTCGGCAGGCCATAAACGATCGTGGATTATTTACTGCTGGCTGGTTTGGTATAAGAGAAAAATACTCTTCCAACTTATAATCCACGATCGTATACGAGCAAGCGAACATGCTAACCTGGTGGCGCTGCCGTCGGTTTGGCCAAGCGTATAATTTGGAGATGTAGACCAGGCTAGAACAACTTCTTATCGTTGAAATAATGTAGCGCTGTGCAGCAAATACTCTTGCCTTAAACAAGTGAACAAACTCTACGTAGTTGGGAAGGGGACATCATTGTTAAACTAAACATAATGTAGGTACAGTGTCCTTGTCTATATTGTCGTAATAAATATTATTTTTTCTCAAACATACTCCCATTGTCTCTAAATATTTGTCGTTTTTTGTTTCCATGCCATAAGCTTGACTAGATTTGTAGAAAATATGTAAAATATTTGTATCTTCAAATAAATTTATTATAAAAGTTGATTTAACGATCTATCTAATGATATAAATTGTGTACCAAAAATATTAATATTTTTTTTACATAAAGTTAGTTAAAGTTATTTCTCGGAAAGGGAGAAGATAAGTATTTATGGACAGAGGGAGTAGTGTTGACGACGCGAATATCGATCCCACAACCGAAGTGCTAAAACACACATATCGCAAACGAACCGATGGATGCGGCATATACAAAGACAGTCAGCTCTCCCAGCGAAATTGCATGCACCAGATGGCAAGGTCCAGTCTCAGCTCTACTTGTAACCGGAAATCCGAGGACATTGGGTATAGCATGCATTTTCATCTGGGTTGATTAAAGAGGGTATTGGGTATAGCATGCCATCGGTGAGAAGGTGTCAGTACTGAGAGAAATAAAAAAGCAAATGTTTTTTCTGTGTGGATAATATTACAGTGTATTTAAAAATGCACAGTAAATCAGTAAAAAATTAAAAACAACAAAACAAATTTGGTAAGGCTTGTAATGTTTAGACCTAGATATGAAAAATACAAAACTTCATTGTTTTGTGCCTGATATATAGAAAAGTGTTATGTGCTGTTTTATTTATTTCAATTGTTTATTTGTCCAAAGATCATGAATTGTACACAGTACCTTTGTTCCTTTAACATCATACTGCGGTAAAGTTTTCATCTCCAGAAAAGTTGACAATATTTCTAGTGAATTTAATTTCGTTTCTGCATAGGTAAATTAAAATCCAAGTTGGCTCCAGCATTTCAAATGCCAGCAAGAAATTGGCGCCTGCACAGAGGCATCACACTGACACAGCGGCCACCTCCAACCGCGAACGCGCGGTCCAGCTTGTCTGCAACACGCGTCCGGCCCCACACGTCAGCCTCTCGTTCCTTATCCATGATTCCAAGAACACGAGTCCACCACAGGGTGAACTGTGCACGCTGCACGGCCATCCATGGCACCTTATCCAGTATTGCAGCAGCAGGTTCACCATCACGGGCATGGAAACCCCAAGGCCGACGCTGTGGCGGCGTCGCTCCGGCGAGGCGCCCTGGCCGACGCCCGCGTCCTCCGCTGCGGCGGCGGTGGCAGTGCACGCCCACGCAACCAAGCTCGGTCTGGACCGCGAGCGCACCGTCCGCAATGGCCTCATCGCGCTCTACCTCTCGTGCGGCGAGCACGGGGCCGCGGGGGCCCTGTTCGACGTGTTCCCAGGCGACGGCCCGGACGTGGTTTCCTGGACGGCCATGGTGACCGGGCACGCGAGGCTGGGCCTCGCCCGTGACGCCGTGGCGCTGTTCTTCGCGATGCTGGAGCTGGACGGCAGCGGCGTCTCCGTCGACGCGGTGGCCGGCGCAGCCGGGTTCGCAGCCTGCGCGGAGGCGAGGGACCTCGCGCTAGCCCGGGAGGCGCACCGGCGCGTCGCGGCGGCGGGCGTCGCGCTTGACATCGTGGCGTGGAACGCGCTCTTGGATATGTACGCCAAGTGCGGCGACGTGGCCGCGGCGCGCCGGTGGTTCCGGGGGATGCCGGTGGCCAAGACCGTCGTGTCCTGGAACACCATGCTCGCGGCGCTCGTACGCGCTGGGGAGCACGGCGAGGCGCTGGACCTGTTCCGGGAGATGCAACGCGCGGGCGTGCGCCCGGACGGCGCGACGTTCGTGGCCGTCCTCGGTGCGTGCGCCCAGCTCGGCGCGCTTGACACGGGGCGGTGGGTGCACGCGTACATGCGCAGGCAGCAGGGGCGTGATGCCAACACCGACGGCGTCATCGTCGGCAACGCCCTGCTCGACATGTACGCCAAGTGCGGCGCGGTGGACCAGGGCGCGGCGGTGTTCGACGGCATGCCGCGGCGCGACGTGTACACCTACGCGTCCATGATCATGGGGCTGGCCACGCACGGTCGCGCCGAGGAGGCCCTAGCGCTGTTCGCGGCAATGCGGCGAGCCAGCGTGCGCCCGAACGGCGTAGCGCTGCTCGGCGTCCTTTGCGCGTGCTGCCACGCCGGGCTCATCGACGAGGGTCTCCGTCACCTTGACGCCATGGCGGAGGACTACGGCGTGACGCCCGGCATCGAGCACTACGGGTGCGCCGTCGACATGCTGGGCCGCGCGGGGAGGCTGGACGAGGCGGAGGCGCTCGTAGCGGCGATGCCCGTGCCGCCCGACGCGCTCGTCCGGGGCTCCCTCCTCGCGGCCTGCCGCGCGCGCGGCGACGTCGACAGAGCCGAGAGGGTGATGCGGTGCGTGGTGGTGGCGGCAGACCGCGGCAGCGGCGAGGCCGGGGACCACGTGCTCTTGTCGAACATGTACGCGTCCAAGGGACGGCATGGCAGGGCGGTGCAGGTGAGGAAGCAGATGAGGAAGAGCAAGATGGTCAAGGATCCGGGCTGCAGCTCCATCGAGATCGACGGCGTCGTGCATGAGTTCCGAGCGGTTCCGGCCAACGCCATCGCATGATGCGATGAAATTGCTGACAACGAACAAAGACACCGTGCAGGCCTGTTGCAGTGAAAAATGCCATAAGGCTTATACTGAAGTTATAAATATTTGAACCGAACTTGTGAATCGAATTCATGAATGGGATTTGTTGAGACAAGGAACGAGAATTTGTTTTCTACCAAGAACACCTGTAGGGCTTATTACTAGTTGCAAACTAAGTATAATAAAGTCACTGCTCACTAGGTTTGTCTTAAACTTTTTTTTATCTTTTTTTCCACGTTATCTAAGTTGGTATATATGTTGCGAACTGATCATATAGATCAGTTGCTTAGGTTCCTCGTAGTGGAACCTGTCCACCCGGATTCAAGTCCTCGACTTAGCACGGGTGCTCATATTTTCCAGGATTTATTCCAGGATTTACCGGCGCTATGCTTTCAGTGGTAGGCGACGTCCCCGTCGATAGCAAGGCGCCTATGGTGACTTGGTGAATCTCGAGATCTGCCGGCTCAGTCCTTCGGAAGTGCTCATAAGGGTAGGGTTTGCGTACGTGTATTCATAAAGGTGAGTGTGCGTGCTTAGTAATTCTCAAAAAAAAGTTGGTATATACGTTGACAAAGGATTGGTTAATCTCGTGGTTACCGAGGCACTAGGCCCATGCCTAAAAAAATTGAGTGCACAAGAAGGCTAAAAAGTAAAAGGCACGATTAAGTGTGTTAGCCATTTTCAATCTCTATAATACCATTTAAACTACACACATTCTTATTTTCCTTGCATGCAAAATTATAAATGATGGTACACTTGATTTGTGATGATGAGTTAATACCTATATTAACATCCTAAAAATTTCATGGATTTTGAGCCATCGGATCACCATCCAATGCTCCACGTCTATCTCCTTTTTAACAAAACAAGAAACCCTAATCTTTTTCCCCCACTCGACCACTTCCCAGTCTCATCCTACCACTTTCGCTGCCGCCGCCACCACTGCCGCCACCGATCTTCGACCTACTTTCTTGGTTGCTTCCTCCTCGCTACCTCGATAAAGCCTTGTCGCTCTTCTCACAAGTGTCGTCGGTGGTTGGTTCCTCGGCCATATGTGTTGCCCCTGTGTGTTGAACGGATCAATATAGAGTATTGGTGGTATCCCCTCTTTGATTTTTTTCAAGGTGGATTGGTGTTCGTACGGTGGTGGTAGGTCGCGATCGTGCTACCATAGTCGATTTTTTTCTGGTGATTTCTATTTTTGCCGATGTAAGAGTCATTAGTATTGTGGTGTTTTGTTCCTCGTGCTATGGAGGTGTAGTTATTAGGTAGTTCGCCCCTTATGCTCAGTGTGGAGGCTTTTACTTCTATGCAATTTAATTTGGTAGCTCTTTGCATTCTTTACTTTATTTAGTGTTATATCGTGTCTATTCTATCAAGTGTTCATTGTACTTCCTCCTTCCTGTGCTGTCATAGTTATTGCCTTGTAGAATTTATTTTACATGGATGTTCACATATTAGTGATTGGTATTTGCCTGC